ATGAGAACCTTTGAGACATTCAAAGGCGTGGAAAAGAAAAGGGAAGTGGGAGGAAGCAAAATGTCACAAGTGCGTTTGAGGAGAGTTGGAAAAGAAGGCAGATTTTAAATTAACAGAAGAAAATTAATCACTTTCCTATATCCAGATAACAATTAGAAAGTGCAATGAAAGGAACTCTCCCATTCATGATAGTAACGAAAATCAGCACACTTCAGAGTAAAGCTGGTTAGAAATGTGGTGGTGGTGGGGGGTGTGGCTCAGTGCTAGAGCCCGTGCTGAGCACGCATGAGGTCCTAGGTTCCAACCCCAGTACCTCCGTTAAAAAAACAGAAACTAATCTCCCCCGCAAAGTGTAATAAAGTTAAAAAAAAAAAGTGACAAACTTTTATGAAATACATTAAAACCTCACAGGCATTAAAGAAGAATTTACTAAATGGATAAATCTGCTGTATTCAAGAGTGGGAATACTTAATATTATAAAGAGGTCAATTCCCCTCAGATTTATTTATGAAGTAATTTTTTTTAACCTGCTCAAAACAATTGTCAAGTTCTATAGGAAAAAATAAAGCATGTGAGCCTCGCCAGGAGAATGCTAAACAAAGAGTCACGATGAGGTTTTAGAGGTGTGCATTTTCTGTTTACACATTTGCAAGTTTTCATTTTTTGTCAGTACATATGTCTTGTAATTAGAGAAACAAGAAATAAAACACTATCAGGAGCTGTAATAAATTATGATCTAGCCACAAAAAAGATGTGTGTGTGTGTGTGTTTCCACTGGAAAGGAATGGCATAAAGATTACACTGAAGAAGATGTATTACTGCTGACTCTGCAGAGGTAACAAGCATGGTCAGGTGGTTTGTGTGCCAACAAACAGATGACTTAGGTGAAATCAGCACATTTCTAGAAAGACACAAACTATGAAAGCTGATTTGAGAAGAAGTGGAAACTCTGAATAGACCTATATGAAGAAAAGAGATTATGGGTTAGTAATTGAAAACGCTTTCTACAAAGAAAAGCCCAGGCCTGGATGGCTTACAGCAGCATGTTAAAAGATCAGCTATGCACCATAAATGCAGGCTTGGTCTACTACTGAAAATCAATTAATGTACTACATCATATCAATAGAAAAAGGACAAACGCCAAGTGATCATCTCAGTAGATGCAGAAAAAGCATTTGACAAAAGTTAACACCTCTTCATGATAAAAACACTCAACACATTAGGAACAGAAGGAAATTTCTCCAACTTAATAAAGGGCATCTGTAGAAAACTCACGGCTCCCATCATGCTCAGTGGCTGAAAGAGTATGTTTCTCCCTGAGATCAGGAACAAGACAGGGCTGCCCACCCCTTCTGTTCAGTGTTGTGTTGGAGGTGCTGGGCATTTAGACAAGGAAGGAAAGGAAGAAGCACAGTTGTGTCTACTTGCAGGTGATGTAATCTCAGACCAGCAAACTCCCCAAAGAAAACAAAGTCATTACGGACGACGAGCTCAGCAGAGTTGCAGGATGCAAGTTGAATATTCAAACATCAGTTGTATTTCTGTACACTATGTACACTAGAAGTGAGCGGTCTGAAGATGAACTTCAGAAAATAGTTGCATTTACAATGACATCAAAAGGAGTAAAATATTTTGGAATAGGTTCAATAAAAGAAGAATAAAACAGGCACTCTGAAAATGACAAAGCAGTTAAAATTAAGCCCTAACTAGGTGGGAGACCACCTCCTGCCCATGGATTGGAAGAGTTAGTCTGGTTAAGATGGCTGCACTCCCTCAGTTCACCGACAGCTTCAGTGAAGTCTCTATCGAAACCCAGGCTGGCTTTTTTGTAGAAACCGACGGGCTGATCCTAGAATTCATGTGGCCGCTGAACAGATCCAGAATAGCCAAGGCTGTCTTGAAAAAGGACAAAGTTGGAGCGCCCATGCCTCCCAGTTTCAGAACTTACCACAAAGCTGTGATAATTGCTATGGTCTGAACGTTGGTGTTGCCCTCAAATTCATATGTTGAAATCCTAACCCCCCAAAAGTGATGGTATTCGTAGGTGGGGCCTTTGGCCAAGGTGATTTTGAGAGGTCTGCAAATACAGATGAGTGTCCGAGTCAGTTTGGGCTGCTATAGCAAAATACCATGGACTGTCCGCTTAAACAACAACCACTTTATTTCCTGCAGTGCTGGAGACTGGAAAAGCCTAAGATCAAGGTGCCAGCAGATTTGGTTCTTGGTGAGGGCTCCCTTCCTGGCTGGTAGACAGCCACCTTCTTGCTGTGTCCTCACGTGGAAAGCAAGGAGGGGCTCTGTGATCTCTTCTTTATGGGGGCCTAATCCCATCATGGGAGCCCTACCCTCATGACCTTTGTGACCCTACGCATTTCCCAAAGACACCACCTTTAAATAGCATCACACGGGGGGCTAGAGCTTCAACATGTGACTTTTGGGTGGGAACAATTCCTTCCATAGCAGCTGACTGTGGTGAAAATCTTGTCCATAAATGCTAACCCCAGCATCTTTTGTTTGTTTTCAGTATTATGTGCCAAGAACCTTGCAAAGAAAGACTTCTTCAGTAAGTAAACACCCACTTTTGTTCTCTTACAATATTAGTATCCTTCACAGACTTCTGAAATGTAAAACTTTTTGAAAAAAACACTGGGTGTATTCTCCTAAAAGTCGTGCCCTTTTATTGAAGAAAGATCCATGGTTTGACAAACTTCATTTCCTCGTTGGCTACAACACAGAGGCTCCTTAGCTCCAAGGCACAGAACTTACAACTCATATAAGAAAAACTCTCTCATCCCCTATTCCGGCCACACCCAGTTTTCTGTGTTTTTATCCATTAATATATTGCTTTCTGCTGGCTGAAGTGCTCTCAGTTCAAATACAGATGAGCCTGTTTTCTCTAAAATGTCTGGGTTTGTATAAAATTAGTTAAATTTTAGAAATTAAATTACATTTTAAAAGCCTTGTAATTAAAGGAATTGTTAAAAAAAAAGAGGAAGATCCTTTTATAAAGGAAGAAATCACCCCTCAACTTAGGGAGTTCACCTACTATAAAGTCGGTGCCTGCAGCGTGAAACTCTTCGCACTTCCTGATCCTCACGAGAACACTGCTCACTTCCTAAGTGGAATTGTTCGCACTTTAACGATGGAGAAACATGCTCAGGTTCACAGGCTTCATTCAAGTAGCTGGGACGCTCCGGAGTGGTGGCTCGCATCTGGGTCTGTCTCTCCGACCCTGAGCTGGCCACCCCCCTGATCTTACAGCCCTCTCTGGTCTCTGCTCCAGGATGGAGGAACTTACCTAATTAAGACTTGGTGAAGCCTTGCTTCCGTAGATAAAATAGACCAAGACCAGTAAACGAGATTCCTAGGTATTATTATTTTTTAGAAAAGATAAATACAATTAATTGTAGACACCTTTTTCTCCATTTAGCTAGCTCCATTTCCTGATCATCAGAAATGGAAATTTGAAATTAAGCCTATTTTGACAGTTTTCATTTCTAGCCTCTCAAAATCCGAGGATGATGTCATTCTGGGTTGCCTTTCTTAGAAAGCATATAGGAATAACTTATTTTGCCCATCAAAACTCACCTTCAGTTTGAGAATAAAACATACCAGGATAACCATCTTTACCAAATGAGGTGATCTTGGAGCCCCCTTTTCCGGCAGGACTGTGTTCTGTATCCCACTGAGAGATCTGGCGTCTCACCCAGCTGTGGCTGTCCCCTCTCCTCCAGGACTCCCCGACCCTTTTGCGAAGATTGTCGTGGATGGATCTGGGCAGTGCCACTCAACGGACACTGTGAAAAACACGCTGGACCCAAAGTGGAACCAACACTACGATCTGTGAGTTGAACATCCTCTAAGCCACTTGCGGGGCAGCAGGGAAGTGGGTATCTAGCTTGGATGAGAAGCATTTAATTTTTTAAAAGAAGATTACTAACTTCTTACTGATAACAAACGTGGATGGCCAAATGAATACACACTGCCAGTTTTTAGAATTCACATTCTTGGAAAGTTCTTGCATTTGACATTCTCATACATTTTTATGGTTTGCTTCTATAACTGTGATCTTCAAACTCCCAACCTCCTGACCATTCTAACAGAAAAAAAGGGCCATAGTTCAGGTCCTCTGTGTGCTACTGCTTTTTCAGTGAAACCCTGCATGTGGTTGTAGAGTTTTTACTTTTAAAATCATTATTATTACATGTATTTATGATGTGACTATATAATAGATACATAGTTCTGTTGATTTTTAAAATTCTGCTTTTTAGTACAATACAATTTCTGCAAGAGAAAATATAGTTTGGTATGATTGAATGTATATAAGCTTACACACCATCAGACAATTTCTTATATTCATTCATTAAATGGGTGGCCTTTTGAAAACACTCTTTTATAGGCACCTATGTTTTCACGTCCCTGCTAAGAAATTTTTGTCAAGGTAATACTGAGTGACTGTTGGTTTTTCATTAACACATATTGTACTGGGTTTGAGAGGGGTTTTAGTAGTTGGAGTCTAAGGCTCACTTCCAGTTACACTGAGGCACCAGAAGTGGCCTGCAAAGTGGCTGCCAGTCCTTGTCCTGAAAGCTCCCGTCTGTGGCTGGCCTGCGCCGAGGGTGAGTGGGGGCTGCTGTCTGAGTGAGCGCCCTTCAGTGAGCTCTGGGTGGATGGAGGTTTGTAAGCAGTCCTTTGTTGCAAACTAGTATTCTGTATTAAGCCTGATGGGTGGGAACTTATGAATTCTGTTATTATCCTTTGGAACTGTTAAGATATAGTAAATCTCTGTTATAAGGTGATGGTTATTAGGGGGTTATCTACACCTACTTCTTACACAGCCCGCTGAGGCCCCCCTCCTGCCCTTTGAAGGCAGCAGACACACACCGACAGAGTGCCTGTTACTCATGAATGTAGCCAACATTATTTTTAAAGGATTCTTTTGTCCCAACAGGTCAATCAGATGAAATCGCAATGGGCAATCGTAATTGAGAAATACAATTAAAAATGAGTTTGCATGTTGTTTTCAGATATGTTGGGAAAACCGATTCTATAACCATCAGCGTGTGGAACCACAAGAAGATTCACAAGAAGCAGGGAGCTGGCTTCCTGGGGTGTGTGCGGCTGCTCTCCAATGCCATCAGCAGGTTGAAAGATACTGGATGTAAGACCCGAATGCTTTTCTGCCTCTTAATGCAACTGAAGAAGGCTTATGAGGCATCTTTTTTTTTTTTTGAATACTGAAAACAGAATTCCTGCCTACCTCCCTAGTTCACATTTCCCCGGGTTAAGTTTTGAATTGTTTGTTTGCAGACCAGCGTTTGGATCTATGCAAACTAAATCCCTCAGATACTGATGCAGTTCGTGGCCAAATAGTGGGTAAGAACTTTCTCATCTGTATAAAGAGATGCTTTTACAGAACTTGACATTCGACTCGTCATCACTGAGAAAACACACCCAGGCACCAGCAAACGGGATGTCCTCCGAAGGGCAGACCACATCGGGGGCCATCTCTTCAGTGCTAAACAGTTTCATCGTGGGTGGTTTTTATTATTTTATCATTCAGGGTTGAGTTAAAATGACTAAGGTACAAAAAGACTTAGGGTTAAATATTTAATGTAGTTGTAACCATCACATTAATGAACAATTAATTTGTCAGATTATCCAAGTGTAGATGATAAAAATGGTGGCCACACATGCAAGAGTTGAGAAGTAGTTTCTGCAGGAAGACCCCTCATCTACATAAAAGGCAAAGAGGATTTCTGAAGACGTCCACGTAATAGGATTTAATAGAGGGTTGATTCACTTAGAAGGAAAAAATGTGCTGATGTTACAAAGTGTAGACTGGAGGTACTCCGTTGGAAATAATGTATCTGTTAAGTAGCTCCTCCTGGGATCCACCCCGTCCATGAGCATTTAAATGGTGGCTGTCTGCATTGCAAGGAGTCAAAGAAAAGCTAGGATTTCCGCAGCACAGCAGAGGGACTTGGGACCCCGAATCTTCTAGGTGTTGTCTTAGATAGACCTGACCCAAGCTAAATGAGCAGTGCGTATCCATCCTGCCTGGAAACCATCATAACAACAAAGTCTTCACTTCATGCTCTGCCGCCGGCGGTTTCTTCTTTTCTTTGTGGGGGGAAGTGCCAGGGGAAAAAGTGCCTGGAACCAGCTTCAAAATGTCTTTGTTGTTCTGAGTCGGAACAGAGACTAGATGTGGAGACTCATCCAGACTTTGCAGATACAGGCAGTGCTTCCTGGGTCCTTATTAAACATAAGTCAAAATCTTCCTAAGAAATGAGGGAACTTAGGAGAAGTGAATATTGTGTGTTCTGCCATCCTTACGGAGAGCTTGGATAACACGGCACCTCCTCCTGCTCCCCGTTGACAAGGAATGTTTGAGTGGTGTGCGGTGCTGTGCGGCTAACTGAGTAACGCGCTCAGACCTCAAAGCAGAGGAATGTGTGTCTCTGTGTTTGTATGTGTGCCTCACTTTTTAAAATAATCGCATACATAAATGATGCATTCACAATGGCTCACTGTATTACAGTTGTATAAAGTAACACTGGATTTTAATGCAAGGCGTTCTTTTCTTTTTAGTCAGTTTACAGACACGAGACAGAATAGGCACTGGAGGGTCTGTGGTAGACTGCAGAGGACTGTTAGAAAATGAAGGGTACGTATCACGGGGCAATGCCTGCCAAGTTCTCTGCTGCCTGGGCTCTCGCACTATCTGAAAGTATCCTTCACACCTTTTCACTGTGTTGAATGCTTCAGATGCCGGAAAGGACTTTGGGATAAACTGGGATCCAGTGTCCTTGTGCCCCAAAGATTCAGGATCCAATTTACAGAGGTTCCCACTGGCCAGAGAATATCAGTAAAGAATTATAACTGCAGTGGAGTGAAGCAATCCGCTGAGCTCATAATGCTACAAGGAGAAATACATTCTAAAAAAAACAAAAACCCCTCAAAAACTACCATTGGTCACGATCACAATCTTTCGATCCCCAGTGAATTAATGGAGCTGGGCAAAAATCATTCATAATTGCTGACATCACCAAAGTGAGAGAATCTGATAGTAACATCCATCCTGGAAGTCCAGGGGACGGGAGTGGCTGTGCAGCCCCGGGATGCCGTAAGCACCGTCCAGGAGGGGGCGCTCTGGAGTGTAGCAGACACAACCTGGCATCTTGAGTAAATACACTGGAAGGAAAATAAACAAAAAGGAAGGAAGAGAACCTGTAAATTAATAGGAGAGATTTAAGAGACGTACCTACTCAGTGCCACGTGTGGACCTCATTTGGATCCTGACTAATGAGACTGCTGACTGGAGAAATGTGAACACTGACTGGTATTTGATGCTACTAAAAAAATTTCATGGACATTTTTTTAAGTCATGATCGTGAAAAAAGTCCTTATCTTCCGGAGGTAGACGCTGACATACTGAAGGGTGAAGTGTTGAAATGTTGGGATTGGTTTCAGGATAACCCAGCGGAGGCGGGAGGAGGAGTTGGGAGAGTGGCCCCAGGCGATGGTGATTGGAGCTTCGCGATGGGTCCAGGGGCGTCGCTGCACAAGTCTCTGCATTTGTGTAGCTGTTTGAAATTTTTCAATGGAAAATGCTTTTCAAAAGCACTTTGCTTATAAGGGAAAATAGCCTATTAAGGTAAATTGTCTTCAGAATTGTTCAGGGGATGGAGGTTTACAGGAAAGAGTACTCTGAAAGTCACTGCAGTATTTTAGGCAACCGGGAGTTCTATTATAGAATAAAGTGATGAGGCAAGTGGAATATTTGGGTTTGATGCTAAGTCAAGAAAACTGAAATCTCCTCTTATGTTCTCCTTATAGTACAAGGTTGGTTTTGTCCAACCATTCAGAGGAAATCTCACAGGTGGCCTTGTGACACTTGCCACGTGGCTCCCTTTGGCCACTGGTTCCTCATGAAAAAGTCTGTCTTTCCAGTTAAATAGGACAGGATGAATTTTTTGAAACTCGGCACTTGGGACACGGTATGTTCAGGAAAAGCAGACTAAACGCATGTGGGAGTGTCGTGTTGAGCCTTCGGGCACGGAGCCGCCTTCGGCCAGCGCGGTCACGCGTGCTGTGTTCTCCCCCTTCTAGAACGGTGTATGAAGACTCGGGGCCGGGGAGGCCTCTCAGCTGCTTCATGGAGGAGCCAGCCCCTTACACCGACGGCACCGGGGCTGCTGCGGGCGGCGGGAGCTGCAGGTTTGTGGAATCCCCAAGTCAAGATCAGAGACTTCAGGCACAGCGACTGCGAAATCCTGAGGTCCGAGGGTCACTCCAGACGCCCCAGAACCGACCGCATGGCCACCAGTCCCCGGAGCTGCCCGAAGGCTACGGTGAGCCGACTCCCCCGTGTTGTCAGCAGTGTTTCAGAGAACTTTCCTTCTCAGACCTCTTTTTAGTGACCTGAGAACTGCCGACGTTTGCAGAGCTGTGCTGTTCAACAGTTGTGTCAGTGTAAGGACAAGTAATGTCTTGCTCATCATGAATTTGTCTGCAGTTGCTCCAGTCTCCCAGTTTAGCAATTGTGTAAAAATTCTAGGCGAATGAATATCAAAGGAAACCAAGATGAGTGGGGTAGGGGGCTTGGTGAGGGTGTTCGTAGTGCCTGGTGGTTTGAACGTGGGAAGGACAGCCTCTAGTGGGAGGGAAAAGATGCGATCTTTTCCCGACCACAGAGGGAGAGCCTTAGTGAGGGAGGAACACATTCCAATGTGGTGGATCAGACCAGAAATAAGAGCTCATCATAGGTGACGGAGGTCAAGGGAGGGTCAGTCCCGAGGTGGCAGACCCACGGGAGCATCTCCTCCAGGGGTGTGGTCCAGGAAGGAGAGCCGCCTCTCCAGGTGTGAGCAGGGGAAGTAACATGTGCCCACACCTGTACACGGGGATTGTGGTCCCTGAAAGCCAGGCAGAAGTTAACCATGCCCTTTCGAACCCTCTTCTCAGTGATTGTAAAGACTATTGGAAGGCAGTGTACACTCTGTGCTTACAGGATTGGTTGAAAACTCTCCTTGGAATTGATTTTAACCACCCGTATCCCCCACTTTCTTGTGCAGAACAGAGAACAACTGTGCAGGGGCAGGTTTATTTTCTGCACACACAGACTGGAGTCAGCACGTGGCACGACCCCAGGATACCAAGGTAGGTTTCCTGAAATGCTCACCGTCAAGCCCATTTTCCAGCCATCACCTGGACCCCTATGACTGTGGATGGTAGAGCCCTTAGATTTGAAGGTGTAAGCTTGGAAGAGCGGCAGCGCTAAGAGGGTGTCTGCCACGGGGTCTTGGACCCAGACTCTCCGGGTGACCGTCCTAGCTCTGCTGCCCCCTCCAGATTCTCCACCTGGTAACTCGGCAGCTGCTGTAACACAAATGGGTCCTTTAGAAAGCAGTCCTGGATCTTGAAATCCGATCATGTAACTGAAAAAGACCCTCACCCGGCGGTTAAATCACATGCATTCTTACTTGAAAAGCCAATAAACCCTTCAAGATGTGTTGCTCTCAATTTAAACTAATAATATTGCTGGATAATATGATGCTTCAAATAATTGGGCTGGGGAGTGAATAGGGGTGCACTGGAGGCAGGTTGATGATGAGCTGGTATTGCCGAAGCTGGTTATTCATTATGGTCTCGCTCTACTTTTTTATGTGCTTAAAATGTTCCATAAGAAAAAGTCAAAAAGGAAAATGAAGATTCTATTACCCTTTCTCTCTTCTACTTTACTGTCCCTATTGCCTCAGTCCCTTGGGGACCATTCCTGGGGGAGATGAAGCTTTTCTATACGAATTCCTTCTCCAAGGCCATACAGCTGAGCCCAGGTCAGAGAGACCCCCACCCCCACCCTGTAATAGAGTTAAGTTTCTTTCTTTTCTTTTTTTCCTTTGCTTTGCTGTCCTTTTTTCTTAAATTTTTTTTTGTTTTAGAATAGCATTACTACCTAATAACATTTTTAGTAATGCTCATTTCCTTTTTAGTCATACTTTGTTTCATCTGAGAACAAGCTTCTTGTCTTTGATTTTCCAAATCTATGTTGAATTTGCAATTCAGTATGTATAATTAGAATGGAAATATTACCTGCAAATGAATCAGGGTGTCTCTTTAGTCCTCACTGCAAGGTGTCAGGCTCCGCTAATTAGAAAGCAGCGCGGGCAGTGATGCCGCGTTCCCGCAGGCCTGGATGGCACAGAAATAATTCATCAGGAGGTTAGAATTAGAAATACTTGCTTATGAACAAAGCCAATGAAAAAAAATGAGAAGGCCTCTTCCTGGTTCAGCTTTTTAGAATTGTAAGATCTTGAATGAGCGATAATACATCCCCATTAGCTTAAAAAACAAAAACAAAAACAAAAACAAAAACACCTCGTGCTGTCCGGGGGCTTTTCCATGCAGAAACCTTTCTGACCTTGAGCATTTAATTTGTGTATCCGGATAGTGTCCGGCAGCGTTCAGATACTTCCTACCGTTTTGCCCTCTTTTGTGTAAGGAATGAAATTCCCTGAGTAGACCGCGTTCGCTCTCAGGGTTGTACCTCTGAAAGCTCCGTTTTTCTCTGTCCGATTTTGCTGCTACTTGCAGCACAGAGGCCAGGACTCAGTGGGACATTGGCCTGAGTAGCGTGGTGACTGTCCCTCTTAGCAGAACAGGGACCCAGCCGCCCCAATATGGGGATTCTGGTGGCTCTCTCCTTGGAGCTTTGGTCTCATGCCAACACACTCAGATGAACAAACCTCTCTGTATCTTCCATTTTGCTAGAGACCTTAACAGCGTGAACTGTGATGAACTTGGACCACTGCCGCCTGGTTGGGAAGTCCGGAGCACCGTTTCCGGGAGGATATATTTTGTAGATCATAACAACCGAACAACCCAGTTTACAGACCCACGGTTACACCACATCATGAAGTAAGACTTTTACAGACTCTTTGTTGACCTCTTACAGTTAACATTTCACGTTTTCTACTCATGTGTTTCTTCATTTATCAACTCCACCATCAGTTAGCAGAGAATAAGCGTAAGCAGACTGTGAGAAGTATTTGGTGGACAGTTGTGTGTTTCAAACTCTCATCCAGCTGGGAGCCATCTTGAAGTCCTGTGGGGTTGCCACCCTGTCCTTACGTACAGCCTAAATCAAATCCACCACGCTGGCAGCATTAGGCAGCTTCATTCTTGAAGCTTCCACACGCAGTGCTCTGATGAAATGCGTGGCCTTAGAGCGGGAAGCAGTGAAGTGAGGGTCTTCCTCAGTGCCTGCTCACCGCCGTCTGGAAGGGCTGCCGGGGTGGAGAACGCTGCTCGCTGGAGCCTTTTCCCAGGCCGCAGCAGGGACCTGGCGATGACCTTGGCTCCCACACCCAGTATTCCTGGTCCGCTGTGTCCTCAGAGCACACGGAGCCCATCTCATCGACAGCAGACGTGAGTCAGCAAAGCGTGAACGGGACAGATGCCGCTTCGTCCCTCTACAGTCCTCATCCTTCTGTTTTCCTGGACTCGTGCTTTTGATGAGTGGGCTGAGAGCTCTTTTGGTCATGAGGCTGAGAAGTGGTGCCCGTTCAGTTTCACTTGAGTCATCTGTTCCTGTGCATCCACCATCATCTGCTTTTAAAGTTTTCATGTCAACTGCGTGTAATTCTAACTGCCGAGGCACATCTAATGGTGCACGGTCAGGGTCATGGATACACACGAGATGCGTGATGAAGGCTGGCAGTGTCTGTTTTTATACGGGGCGACGATACCGGATGAGATACGGAATTAGTGTCTCCTCTCTTGCATCCTGGATGTATATTTCGTCTGCTGGTGGCCACCAGCAATTTACATATCGATGTACAAAGTTATGTCACCAGAGAAAAACTTCCACTAGAAGTTGGGTGTAATGAACTCCCTCTCAGTCCCTTTCATGGGGGGTGGGATGGGGGGCACTCGCTTGGCTGCTGCTCTTGGGTGACCTTGATGCTTCTGTTTTTCCCAAGTCACCAGTGCCAACTAAAGGAGCCCAGCCAGCCGCTACCGCTGCCCAGCGAGGGCTCCGTGGAAGACGAGGAGCTTCCTGCCCAGAGATATGAGAGAGATTTAGTCCAGAAACTGAAAGTCCTCAGACACGAACTGTCACTTCAGCAGCCTCAGGCTGGTCATTGCCGGATCGAAGTATCCAGAGAGGAGATATTTGAGGTATGGGATCCGGGCACTGGCAGTCTGGCCCAGACTCTTCCTCCCCGTTAACACATGGAGTTCTTCTTTCTGTTTGGTGTTTTGGCCGTTGATTTTCTTAGTGAAATGCAGGGGTTTATCAGGGCCAGAGCTCTTGGGGAGAGAGGGAGCTGCATTTCCTCCAATGGTGGACGTTTAAACATAGATGACTTCTGAGTGAAAATCTAGAGATCTGTACAGAAACTAGTACTAAGTAATACTGTAAATCCCTGTATCTGCACCGTGCGGGTTGTATTTCCTGCATCTGCACAGTTTCCTTAGAACCAAGTGTTCCTTCCGCTTCGGCCTCACGTGGACTTTCACCGCCCTCCCCGGCATTGCCTTCTCAGAGGGGCTAAAGGGCCACTTTGCTGTCCCTTCTGGAAGTAGGAAGATACTGTGGCGCCAGGAAGGGTTCCATCCTTTGTCTGGCTCCCCTGTGGGGTTGGGGCCCTAAACAGGCAGGGCCTTCAGTAGGCAGGGCCCTTTTCTCGGGACCAAGATCCGGAGGTAAAATCTCAGCCATATTTGGGCCCTCATGGAATCCTTGGCAGAGATGATCAAATGAGACGGGGCGAGAGCCAACGCAGGTGCTGCAGCTGAGGGGCCGCGGAGGGCAGCCTGGCACCTTCTCCTCCAGGGGCACTGGGAAGCTCCCGGGCTGCTGGAGGCTGGGGCACAGCCGGTGTCCGACGAGTGGAGCAGCTCCAGTGCCCAGTTTTGCCCATGGAGCATCGTAAATGGTTGTTGGGGATAGAAAAGAGCTGAATTATTGACATTCTGCTGTCAGATCATTTCCACTCAACATCCTCCTTTCCTCTTGGGACTGTAGCTTTTGAATTACATTGAAGTTAAAGCAAGAAAAGATTCTTAAGTGCCTTGTCACTGAAAATACCTGCAAACATTTAGCTAGTCCCACTCTGAGCGCTGAGTCCAAGGAACTTCAGTTGCCCTTTGTTGTCTGTGGGTCGATCAGCTGCTCTGTCTTCCTTCAGCCCGACCTGGTCTTTTGATGCTGGGAAACTGATTTTTGACTTCAGATACAAAATCAGGCTCAGAATTGTTTTACTGTTCGGACTCTGGTGTTGTCTTCATTTGGGTTAAAATGTATAAATTATTTATAGGACACACTGGAATTAATTTGTATGGAGAAAATCAACTCTAGTGAGGACGTGTAATTCGTGAAGTCGTGACTGTGCTGAGAATGAGTGTTTCCTTCAGGTGCAGCGGCACCTGCTGTGTCTTGTTGTTGTTTCTGAGGGTGCGACAACAGAAGAGATGATGGAAGCAGCAGTGTGCTAGGTGCCAAGTAAACGCTCTGAACAGGAGCCACAGAAAACTCAGCTCTGAGCCTTAAAAACAGTGCAGGCGCTTCTGTGTAATCCGGCTCTGTTATGAGTCAGCTTGCATCGCTGTATAACTTTGAACATAAGAAAAGTTTTTCTCTCTGAACCTGTAATTTTGATGTGCAGGAGTCTTATCGCCAGATAATGAAGATGCGACCAAAGGACTTGAAAAAGCGACTGATGGTGAAATTCCGTGGCGAGGAAGGTTTGGACTACGGTGGGGTGGCGAGGTGAGAGGCTGTGTACCCCTCTTCCTCCTGCATGGACTTCAGCCTGCCTGTGAGAAAATACTTGCCGAGGGAAGTCCTTTGCCCCTTTCTGGTGCTAGTCTTGGTGTAGCCAGGACTTAAGTGTCGCTGTCAGCGAGCTTAGAAAAAGAATCCTTAAGAGCGCACGCGCGCCAGCATCTCCCTGTAACCTGTCAGGATGCGCGCGCGCCAGCATTGCTTTACTCCCTGTGAAGTACGAGTTAACGTCTACACTCACTCCCTTCATCTGGCGTGAGCAAACCTGAGCTTAATTCGGAGGCAGCCTTGGCTTCTCTGGAGAGAGGGCTTTCGCTGGTGGGAGGAGGCATCTGTGTCAAAGGAATTTCATAAAGTGAGATTTTGGTCAAAATAATTCATGCAGATTCTTTTAAACATAGAACATAGTCATGAAAGGCTGCCGTTTCCCGTCCTTCCTCTTTTCACCTTTGAGACAACTGCTGTTTTGCTCTTTTAACTCTTTCTTTAGTAGAGCCAATCAGCTCGATCAATGACTCAATCAGGTTCAGGTATTGTCTGTTGATTTCATGGTTTAGGTTCATAGACACAGAGGGACTGGATAACAGTCATGGGGAGGAACTGATTTTATACTCTCACTTCCTAGTTTTGTAATATCAGTATTTTTAGCTCTTCTGTCATTGTCTTTGTAACTTTACATAATGTTTTTTAAACCTTTTTTTTATTGAGTTATAGTCATTTTACAATGTTGTGTCAAATTCCAGTGTAGAGCACAATTTTTCAGTTATACATGAACGTAATACATTCATTGTCACATTCTCTTTCGCTGTGAGCCACCACAAGATCCTTTATATATTTCCCTGTGTTACACAGTACAATCTTGTTTATCTGTTCTACATTTTGAAAGCCCAGTCTGTCCCTTCCCACCCCCCAATGTTTTTTCATCATTATTTTTTGGCTGTCAACTAGAGACATTATCTCTTGGCCTCTGTTTTTCATAAGAAAGGGATTATTAATACTGCTGACTTTCCTTTTAGCATTCCTTCCACCTTTTACCTCTTACGTTCTGCCATCTGTGATACTACTTTTATATTGTTAAGGTTGAAGATCTACCTTCTGTCTGTAACCAGTATTAAGTAGGTCTCCTGTGCTTGTCTACTTACTATTTGTAAGAGTTGAAAATCAATATTGTTTTATGTTATTATGACAACGTAAAATATTATTCACTGAGGGAGTAAGTGGCATTCTATCATTTATTTTATTCTTTTGAACAAATTTAAATTTTTGAGAATTTCTTCTTTTTCTTCTTATTTTTTAAAAACAAGTCTTGTCTTTGTTGCCCCATTAAACTTCATCTTTTGCCATCCCATCCACCCACTTTCCCCATGTATCTCTTTTGTGGAGACTCTGTCCAGCCTGACTATTGATTCTGTAGACCTTCTGCACAGTTGTTGTCATGGGACTTCAGTTCTTCCTTGGGTTAGAGCCACTGTTGTGTGGATCCCATAGTGTCCACTTTCTTGGCTTTCTCCCTTGTGCTACTGGAGTATATCTTCAAGTAGCTTTCTTAGAAAGGTGTGTGGGAGGTGAATTTTCCAAAAACTTGAGTCTGAAAATGTCTTATAATCTATACTTTGCCTGATAGTTTGGCTTTTTATAGACTTCTAGAAAGAAGATAATTTTCATTCAGAACTTGGAAGGCATTGTTCTGCTATCTCTCGGCACCCAGTGTCACTGTCTGAGGACAGTCAGGTTTCAGTCACTTCTGAGTTATTTGACCCCATCCAGGACCACCCATCATCTCTAGCTCCTACCCCCTTTTCTCTGTTTTTCACCCCACTCTGGTCTTCACTTCCTCCTTACCCATAATCCACCATCATAATCACTCCCTCATGCCCCTCCTAGCTTCCTTCCTCTTTCCGTTTGCTGTGCTTGCCTGGCAGACACCCAGCTCTGAGGGATCCCATCCTCAGGCTGCCCTGCACCTCACCTGAGCAGCTGAGTGTGGCCAGAGGCAAGCACACGTCCTCACTGCTGGCCTTTCTCTCCATCAGTGGCCCTAGCCCTCTAGGAAGTTTCCGCGCCTGCTGCAGTTCTGTGCTGGGTCTCTCTCAGATCTGCAGCCTTGGTTCTGCCCCTCCTCACTCTTAGCTGCTGACTTTGCTTCTTATTTACCTGAGGAAACAGAAGCGATCTGAAGAGTCTGTCCTCACACCACCAAATACCGAGTCTGCCAGTATCTGTCCCCTGTGTGGCCCACGCATGTTCCCGTGTGGGAGCATCCAGGCCCTTTTGCTTCTCCTGTTATTTCACATGTTTCATTTCATCAAAATGTCCCTTTCTCTTGGGTCAGTCTCATCCATGTAAAAACGTGTGACCACAACTCCCTTCTTCAGAGGAACAGACATGCCTCCCAGACCTTCCCTGGACACTAAGTCATCCCTTCCTGTCTGAGCTTTAAGGAGGCAGTAAAGGCAAATGGAACACAGTAAAAAGAAAAACAATTAGAAATTCCGGGCAAAACGAAAATGTGTTGAAGAACACGTAACTCAGCCATCGCCCTGTTTCTTTGTTCCCTTCGTAGCAAAACCCGTCGGAAGAGTCGTGCGCCTCCCTCCTCTGCTTCCACATCCTCGCTTTCTGTTGAACCTGTTCCCGGCAGATCTCTGCCCCGCGAAGCTCCCTGTGTGCAGTCTCCCGTGAGCTGCGTCTCACAAGCCCAGCGCTGGCTCGGTCTCCGTCTCGCCCAGTCTGTCGGCCACACCTGATGGCGTCGGTCACCCCCTGCTTCTTGAGACACTTTCCCACTTGATTCTCGGTGCCAGGCTCTCCTGGTTTCCCTTCAGCTCCTCCCAAGCTCCTGTGATGGTGCTTCCCTCTCTTCCTTGCCTCTGGACATCACCTGCCCTCCTGCTTCTCCCTCCTTCAGGGCCATCCCAGCCGCAGCCAGCCTGCCCTTTCTGAACACTCAGCTGTGTCACCTCCTGTCCCTGAGCGCCCCCCCCAGCCCCCCATCTCCCCTGATTGCCCCGAGCGCAGCTGAATGGGGCCGTGGCTGCCCTGCCTGTGCCTCCGCCTCTCCGGGTTCCCGTGCCCACCTGTCACCCCCGGCCCCTCACGTAGCTCCCCGTCCTTTCACCTGGGGCCTGCCTACACGTCCCCCTCAGCAAGGCCTTCCCGGTCCCCTCTCCACATCAGCCCCAGCCGCCCCCACGTATGTGCTGTGTAGGGCCCGCAGCCCCAAGAGACACGCTGTGCGAGTCTGGGAGCCTGAAACTGCATCTTGTGTGTTCTCGGCTGAATCCCCAGATCCAAGAAGAGCCCCCGCCCCACAGCGAGCGCTCGTCTGGTTAAGCACCTGCTCGAGGATGGATTTTGCTTTTTGATAACTTCCTCCCCTCTGTATCCTTCCTTTGGTCTTCCTGAAACTCCTGTTACTCAGATGCTGGATTCCCTGGACTGAGCTTGTGTATCTCTCATCTTTCTCCTTTCATTTCCCATCTTTGTTCCCTCCCCCAGCCTCTGCTTCCAGGGAGATTTCCTCAACTTGCCTTCCAGTGCTTCAGTATTTTTTATCTTGTTTTTTCAATTCCATTGTAATAAAATGTAAAATGAGAGAATTAAAATGAACTGAGGAGACCCGTCACGTGATTGATTCTTCTGAAGGGGGACACCCTTATAACTTGTATGCCCTTATAAGAACTATATTTACTCATTAATCAGTAAATATTGAGACTCACTGTGGGCTGGGTACCAGGAACGTAGTGTGAGCAAAGTGACGTGTCCCCTGCCCCCTCTGCCCCTTCAGACTCCCCGGGCAAAGGACTCCTCAGTCTGTTGAGGTCCAGGCACTAATCAAAGAAGTACACAAGTAAGTGTAAAACCACGACTCCAGTAGATGCTACAAGCGGAGCCACGTTCCTGTGTGGACGTGTGACGGTGGCCCTGTCTTGGGGAGTCGGGGTAGGAGGGCCTCGCGCCCTTGCCACTTACAAAAGCAGAGCAGCCCCGCAGCGCTCTGTGCTGGGTCTCCCCGCACAGTTATGTTCCAGGGAGCGTTGTAGGGGTCTCATTAGGTTTCTGGGTAGATTTGGGATTTTTTTTCAGCAGCCAAAAGTAAATAATTAAAACAGAAAAAGTCATAATGTGCCCTGTGGCCCCAGAACCGAATCATTCCGCCAACTTCTTCCCGTCACTGTGGCCCTCTGTCTCCCCGGCCCGCCCCTCCGGTTTTGAGTCCTGCCGGGATGAGAGGTACGGGGAAGGCTGCACTTCCCTGACAGCGAGCTCACACTGACTGCCTCTCCACGGGCACGCTTTTCCTTTCGAGATTGTCCCAAGTTTCCTCCTTGATCGTCTCAGTATTGATGCTAGGAGCCTTCTTTCTCCTGGCAGATGTCACGCCTGTTTGCCCTTGAAAACACCGACTCCATTTCCTAAGGTGTAGGCTCTCTGGCCCCCTTTTCAGGGAGAATCTTCCTGTTTAGTCATTCATATTTGTCCTAAATTCAAATCAGATCACACCTTCTCTTCTATACCTTTTCCTTTATGATCTCCAGACGTCTCGAGAGTTCAGTATCCCACACTGTTTCAATTTACCTCTGTTCCTTTGCGTGGCTGGGTTGTAGATGTCTAGCAGGCAGGTGGCGAGCTCGGCGAGGGGCGGTTTGGTAGCAGTTTGCTTCGTCTGCCTTCTCCGTAGTTACCAGGTCTTGCACGCGGAGACGAGCCTCGGTGAAGCTCCCTCGATGAACAGGACGCTGCCGCGGGCGGAGCTGTGACTCAGCTTGTCTGCCTCGAGTCCGATCTCTGCACATTGTTCCAGCCTCAAGCCTTCCTCACGTCCGAGTGGGTCCTACTGAGCTTGGAGGGCTGAGGAGAGGTGTCAGTCACACGTGCGTTACACACACGTGTGTCTGTGTCCCTTGCGTGGTGGGTGAGAATCGGTCTGCACTCATCTTCCCAGGGTCTCCCTCTTGCCTGTGTAGTCAGCTCTTCCCCAGCCAGTTCCAGAACATGTCTCACGGGCCTCTACACCTCGTCCTCGGCGCCGTCAGGATGTTTGCTTGTGTTTTAATCACTTCCTGTCTAGACAGTTGCAGGGCCTTGGCTTTTATGAAAACAGTTCTTCATAAAGCCAAACCCCAAGACTCAGGGATGAATCAGGGCACTAGAGCTGGGAAGCGCTGCCTTTCTAGGAACCAGGCTTCGTGAGGTCGGAGCCGCGTCTCTTCGGCGGTTCCTCGCTGTTCTTTGGACTTAGACGTGTAACTTTGTGTTGGTGTGATCATTTTGGGTGTGTTTTCACAATTTTCTTGGACAGATGATTTGCGTCCATGCTTATCCTTTCGTATTTTCTCAATTCTCTGTCTTTTCTAGTTGAAAGAGTAAGAAATTCCAGAATGAAACCTGGGGCTGCTATCTTAATAAGATTCATCCGTTGAAAGGAGTTTTGGGTAGAATGGACAGAAGGCTACAGAGGAGTGTGTAGAGGCCCCATGCACATTCACCCACCATGCCTGGGCTCATCGCAGTGTGACCTCAGCAGCTGAGTCACACAGCTTCTGTTGAGAGTGTCTTGTCATTTGATTCTGATTTGGGACTTTGTTCTAACGAAAGAATTCAAACACAAAGGAATTCAGAAGATCATTAATTCTTACGTACCCCCATCCAGATTTTAAAACTCTTAGAATTAACATTTTAAAATTGTAAACTAACCTTTTAAATGAGGAAAATGAGAAGTGCTTATGGCAAAACATAAGAATTCAACAGGAAAGAAAATGCTGAGAGCGGAAGTCATTCTTATAGAATCCCTGCCTCCCCAGACTCGGAGATCTTTCCTCCTTATTTAAACATTAATAACATGTTACAGTAAGAATTTAAAAACTAGAAAGAAGCAAAGGAAAAAATGAAAATGCCCGGAATGCCGATTCTCTAGTTAACTGCCGTCAGCGTGCCTAGTGTAAATCCTTCCTGGCTCCACATTTGTACTTCTTCTGTTTTGTGGATGTGTGGATGTGCACGCACCCTTGTAAAATCAAAGTAGGCTCATACTGCTTCTTACTGCACTGCCGTTGGTTATTACCACGTCATTAACATCCTCCTCTGAGATTCTGATCTTTGCAAAGGAGCAGAGAAACCAGAGTTGAGGTCCAGGGAAGCTGCCAGACTGTGGAGGACCCGGTACTTTTAATCTGCTCCCGATTCCAGGCGACCAGGTTCTTTCTTAGTGTCTGAGTTGTTGGAATTTGGGTCAGAAAATCCGTTTCTGATACCACCAGAAATTGTTTTTTACTTCAGTAGGTTTACTTGCCCAGTCTGTCCAAATTACCTCTCAGAGCCAGGCAGCCTTACCAGTTTGGTTTTCTAGGGCAGAGTGAATCAGTCCTTTTGTTAAGATCTCAAACCAGGAGGTTCTAAAATGTTGTGGTGGTGTGGTTGTTTCTAGGGAGTGGCTTTATTTATTGTGCCATGAGATGTTAAATCCGTATTACGGGCTCTTCCAATACTCTACGGACAACATTTACATGCTGCAGATCAACCCAGATTCTTCCATCAACCCTGTAAGTATGAATGAATAAAAAGGTAGGAAATTAAGTTGAAAAATTTCTTAAGTGGATTTTCAGTTTCGATCTCAAGCCTTGGTTTATTCATCACAGACTTACTCACAGTCCGTGGTACCTAACATACCCAAGGGTAGGGGGAAATGTGGATTCAGGTGGCGGGTGTCAGTCCTGCGTTTGCAGTGCTGGGGTCACTGAGAATGTCGTTCCAGGGGGAACAAGAGAACGAGAGAACCTGAGCCGCTCGTAGGCCCAAAGCACTTTATTGCCCTTTGAGGGAACTGGGGCTGGACGGCCGACTTGTTGACAGTGTCATTCTGAGAAGTGGGTTCCAGAGTCCATCCTCCTCCCACTCAAAATAGGAATATTCCCATCATTGGAACCCTTAGCTGCTTGTTTTAGAGATGAGAAGTAAGCGCGGGGTGGGAATGGCTGGGTCAGGGTCGGCCAGCGGGCGCGGGGGGCTCTCCCGTGGGGCAGCCCAGGCGCGGTCAGAGCCGAGCTCCGCTCTGCACACGCTCACCTGGGACAGGACCTTCTACCAGCATGGAAGTTGTTGGAAATTGACTAATTGTCTGATTATAATTCCCACCTGGGAGTAGCAGTGGGCGGTCCCCTAGTTACAGAGCAGAGCAGCGTGGGTTCTAGGAGGGCTCGCTCACTCGGGTTGTTCAGTTGTTTTCCTGTGTCCCTCCCCTCCCCCCTCCATTTGGAATTTTTCTCTTCTTTTTTGTGGGGCAGGGGAGGGGTGCCAGAGGAGGAAGTGGGGACTGCCTTTTGCTCTCTATTTCCTTGTGGGGCAGCAGGAGGGAGAAGCCAGCGGCTTCCTGGGCATGTGACCTGTGCCTGCCAGGTCCTGCTCTGAGCAGGGCCCACCCTTGGGTTGGTCTCTGTTGCCACCATGTTGAAATTCTTAGTCTTTGAATAAGGGGTTCTGCATTTTCATTTCGCACAGGGGCCCACAAGTTAGGCAGCAGCTCTGAGAAGGTGTTTGAACAAGGGCAAATAAAATGTTGTTCAGATGATCTTGCCAAAAGGTGTGCTCTGATTTTGACTGCCTCCTCGGCCTCTGTTCACTTGGCCCTGAGCGCAACCTGTGAGTAACTGGTTGCCTGCGGGACAGTTCTCCCCAGCACGAGGTAGCCACCCACCTGGGCGGGTCATTTTTCTAACAAATTCATGTTCTCTGGTGCCCCCTACAGGACCATTTGTCTTATTTCCATTTTGTGGGTCGGATCATGGGCCTCGCTGTGTTCCATGGACACTACATCAATGGGGGGTTCACAGTTCCCTTCTACAAACAGCTCCTGGGGAAACCCATCCAGCTGTCTGATTTGGAATCAGTGGACCCAGAACTACATAAGAGCTTAGTGTGGATTCTGTAAGTACTGACTCACTGCTCAGTTAATTGAAACTTCATGCATGGTCGCCCGTCTCAGTGCACGCTGAGTACATGTATTTGGTGTGTGTACCTCTCTGTATATATTTTGGGGATGGATGTGAAATTGGAGAAGAGAAATAAACTACCAGAAAGAAAAGTAGATTTAACAAAAATACTTAATTGACTTATTTTCCTCGTAATGTTTGGCCAGTTTCTCTTCGTGGACTAGTTTCTTTTGTTTCCTTGAATTGTTATGATTATGAATGTTAAACCCCAGGCCTGGTGGTTTGTTTGACACTCGAGGTATCCCCAGTCAGTCTCTAGAGGGGCTAAGAAAGTATCAAAAACCCCTAATACTTTGTTTTAGGATTATCCTAAAACTCTCTTAAAAGCAGCAGGCACAGGTACCCGGCCAGCCGTAGGAGTCGCGGGTCCTGGTGAATGAGCCAATGTCACAGGGGTGAGAGGCCCAGGCTCTGTCACAGGGCGCACACCCAGCAGTCGATCGTGGCTGCATCCCTCTGCCTGCTTTCACCTGTCCCAGCTGGAGATGCTGGCCTGCGCAGCCAGGGCCTTCAGCCAGTAGCAAACCTGCCCCTATGTGTTTAAAAAAACAGGGCAGATTGAGGAGCTGGTTTTGACTTTCAAGTGCTTCTTGGAGGCGAAGCGCTTGGAAAGGCTGCGGTGAGCGCGGGGGAACAGCATTTCCTTCCTTGGTGTGGCTTCCCTTTGACTCAGTTTCCCCTGGATGCTTCCCTCCCGTCTGCTCCAAGACTCAGAGCACGAAGCAGTCAGGTTGCCATGTCTCATAAGATCCCCCTCCTTCCGTGAAGGAGAAAGCCGGGCGTCAGGGACACAGCTGGCACTGGGGCCCTTCCCTGCCCCACCCGAGCTCCGTGCCCGCCGTCGCCAGCGCTGTCTCTCTCTGCCCCCTGTTGTTGATTCAAGGCTCCATCCGCTGCCACATGGCGGCCCAAGCCTGAATGACACCTGTCTCGTCCCCCCTCAGAGAGAACGACATCACCCCCGTGCTGGACCACACGTTCTGCGTGGAGCACAATGCTTTCGGGAGGATTCTCCAGCATGAACTGAAACCCAACGGCAGAAACGTACCTGTCACCGAGGAGAACAAGAAAGAATATGTCCGGTAACGTCCCGGGGGACCTGGGTGGTCGCCGCCAGGGTGTCCAGGTGCCTGGGACTGTCCTGGGCAGGCGGGGTTCACATTCAGATCTTTGAGGCTTCTTCACTGTGTAAGGCTCTTCTGTCCCCACCAGCACTTGTGACCAGACTCATGTTAACTGCAGAGACCAGTGGGTTCAGTGCTGGGGGCTCCACGTGGAGGAGCCCTGATGTCATCAGGGCTGACCTGTTAAATGGGGAGTAGTGACCCCAGAGCCCCCACCCACACACAAGAGGGGTGAAGACTCAATTCTGGGTGACTCAATTCTGCCCGATTCTGGGTGGGATGGTGGCAACCAGAGGAGGGAGAAGGAGGCCTGGAAATTTCTTTGAGCTCAGTCTCCAGGAAGTCTACTTCTGTTAGTGTTTTCCCACCTCTTAAGGCAAATGAATGGCTAGTCACTTACCTGGGAAGTTCAGAGACACATGGCAGTGTCTGTGCTCGTGCTGTCACACTGGCATGTAGTTCTCCCAGTGGCCTGTATTTTATTTTCAAACATACTTTTAAACTCTGACCTCAGTAACAGGTCAGGTCGGCTCTCACGTTATGTTAAACAAAGAATCAGCAGTTCTAACGGAGGGCTGGTTTACTTTGAACCTGATTCTTCGGTGGGAGACCACCGACTGGTGGGGTTCTCCTCCCGGTTAGGGGAGGCCTGGCGGGCAGGGATCAGCTGATATCAGAACCAACTACAGAGGGAAAAAAAAATGTCATGAACCATTTGATATTGCTTCCAACTTGTGAATTTCCCTTTCAGGTTATACGTAAATTGGAGGTTTATGAGAGGCATCGAAGCCCAGTTCCTAGCTCTTCAGAAGGGGTTTAATGAGCTCATCCCTCAACACTTACTGAAGCCTTTTGACCAGAAGGAGCTGGAGGTGGGTGCTCTCGCGGGTCCTCGGTGTCTCCTCACTCCCAGGGCCAGGCTGGGGCCGGGGGCCAGGAGGGTGAGCGGGGGGACAAGGTCTGGTGCCTGCTGCGTGGCAGGGAACCTGGGTAGTTCTTGGGCCGTTGTTTGGGGTGTTCCGGGGCTCCTCGTGATTTTCACCATCTCCAGCAGTAGAGGCTCCCCCGTCCCTCCTGCGGGGTCCCCTCGGAGGGAGGAGATGACCACAGCCAGCTTCTCCTACAGGCTCAGAATGTAGCCTTACTGTCTTCTCTCATCGGTCCTCACCGGCCTGAACAAAGCGATTCATTCATGTCTCATCCAGCTCTGGTGCCCAGTGGCTCAGCCTTTAAAACCGTTCTGGGTCTTTCTGCCCCTGTGTGATGCCTGGAGCTCTAGGCCTGGAGGCACCTCCCTGAGGTGGAGCGGTAGCTCCGGGGTGAACTTGTTTAGCGCGTTGAGAAACAAGCACCTAACTTGCTCCATTCCCTTCTCTTAGACCTTAAACCCCACGTATCCCCGAGTGTCCCCGAGAGATCGTGTGGGGCGGCCCCGCCTTACAGTCAGCCCGTGCGGTCCTTCTGGTCTATTCTGTCGTATTCACTCCTCCCCAGAGCAGTGCAGACACACACACACGCAGAGACTTGGTCGGAAGAGGACTTCCTGTCCAGAGCTCTCAGGTGGCAGCAGGTGGAGGTGCAGATGGAGCTTCAGGCCTGCTGTGTGTGTCTGTCTCCCTGCTGCTCTGCTGTGGGAGCGCCTGTCTGGCTCTGGGTGCCATATCGGGTGCCAGGTGCTGGGGGCCTGGCGGCGTTGGTCGCCCACGTGGTGGGGCAATAACCCGCCCTCCTGGCCTGCAGTTGATTATCGGTGGCCTGGACAAGATCGACCTGGACGACTGGAAGTCCAACACGCGGCTGAAGCACTGCGGGGCCGACAGCAACGTGGTCCGGTGGTTCTGGCAGGCGGTGGAGACCTTTGACGAGGAGAGGAGGGCCAGGCTCCTGCAGTTCGTGACCGGGTCCACGCGGGTCCCGCTCCAGGGCTTTAAGGCCCTGCAAGGTGACTGACATGGAGGTGGGGCTGGTGGCTGCAGCGGGCGGGGTAGGAGGGGGGAGGACTGGGACCGTGGGGGTGCTTGTCCCCAACCTTTGACCAGAAAGCAGGCCACATTCTTGCGTGACAAATGGTGGGCCTGGGTCTTTGCAGCAATAGAGGGTGCTGGCTGGCCTGGTGCCCACACAGGGCTGGGTCTGGAAGGACCTGAGCCAGGAAGGCTTGGTGGAGCCTCCCCGCCCCCAGCAGAGTTGGTTGACAATGGGAGGGTAAAAATAGTCACAAGAGTTTGGGGGAAGAAATCTGTGTTAAAAGTGCACCGTGGATTAATTTCTGAGTCTGCAGCTCTCCACCTGCAGTCCTGAGACAGAGAGAGGCCTGGCCTGAGGATACAGAGACCGAGTCTCCTGCTGCCATGGGGTCATGAGCTCCAGGGGTCCTCCCTGGCCCTCAGTTTCCTCATCTGTACAAGTGGACTGCCTGACGGGCCCCACTGTCCAGTTAGGAACCCGGCCTCTCTCTTACTCCTTCTGGCTCTGACTGGGTCCCTGGCTCACCCAGGTCTAGAGTTGGGGATTGGAGACAGGGGAGGTGGGAGGCTGGACAGGCTTTTGAGCCTCTGGTGGGGCCTGGAGGGCCTCATGGGCAGCACAGCCAACTGGGAAGGTCCTCGCAGGTTTCTCCCTGGCCCTGTGATTTGTAAAATTTCAGGTTTTTGTCACTTGATAACCCTGGGAGCCAGAAGGAGCAAGGTGAATAATATGAATATATTACAGTTGAGAACACTGGATACTAAGTTGAGTAAATTAGTGACAGCAGGTAGATCTCTTTGTAGAACAGTCCCTGTCACCTCGTCCTTATTTCAAGGGCCCCTTGGAGTGAGAGAAGTTACTTCTCTTCCCTGGGCCTTGGGTCCTAGGTGTCAATGTCTTTTTCCTTTTCCACTGGCCTCCACCTGGGGAAGTTTCCTGCCAACAGCAGGCCTGCCTGCTGAACATTTCTGTTTTCTTAAAAAACTACCAGTGATGTCAGGGTTTTCCAGCACCCGCCCTGGAGCAGGCTCACGGTCAGGGGTAGTAGGAGAGTTCTCGCCAGTCCTCGCTCCTCCTGCCCCTGGGATTTTCTAAAAGGTCTGAGATTAGTCACATCATGGCCTTTGGGGGAGGATCCTGAAACCTGACAGGGTCTCCTGGGGCCACGTGAACCCTGGGCCGAGGGGGTGGCTGCCGCAGGCCGGGTGCCACCCCTGAAGTGCGTTGACTAGAATGTCGTCTGGTAAGGTTCTACAGGCGCCGCAGGGCCGCGGCTCTTCACCATCCACCTGATCGACGCCAATACGGACAACCTCCCCAAGGCCCACACCTGGTAAGCCCGGCCCCGCCGGCGGCTCCCCTGGGCTCCTTCCCTACTTGGCTCTGCAGCGGGGCAGCCCCCTTGAGGGGTAGCGAAGGCTCCCGGGAACCCGGTTGAGATGGGATTGATGCTCGAGCCTCTCCCGCAGCTCTGTCCTCGCTTTGCGGGTCTCGCTGCCCAGGCGGGCGTGTGTGTCTGCGCACGCGCGCCTGTCAGTAGGGAGAGGTGCAGTTTTAAACTTGGAGTTGTGGGTCTTCTTCGTTTTGACCTTCCTGGGCCCCATTTTCCTTCCTGGGACTCCGCCAATGACAGATGCACCCGGTGTACTGAAAATTGTTTCCTCCCTAAATTTGTAGTTAAATAATATCTGTAGCAGATGAATTTCTCTATAGTTTAAAAATCAAATTACATAGTTTGTCTTGGAACTATTTATGGAGAAGAAAGCCACCTCTGGCTCAGGAGGACCAGTTCCAGGGGTCCCCGAGATGCATCGACATGTAACGGAAGGTTCCTGATTGGGAACCGAGGGGAGTGGAAAACTCTGCTCTGCCCTCCTCCCGGCCTCTCTCCCCGCGCATGCGCACATATGCACGTCCTGCCCGTCCCTGTCCCTGTCCTTAGAGCAGGTCCTCGGACCGGGCCGCCCCCCAGCGACTCTCGCTTTTATGTCCTGTTCCAGCTTTAACCGGATCGACATCCCACCTTACGAGTCATACGAGAAGCTTTACGAGAAGCTGCTGACGGCCGTGGAGGAGACCTGTGGGTTCGCGGTGGAGTGAGGAGCAACCAGAGGCGCCAGGTTCTAGCTCACAACCACCAGACCAAAGCGCACGGCTCTGTGCGCCTCCGGCCTGCGACGCTGGCTGAGGCTCTGGAATTCTCGATGACCTGAGGGAAAGGCTTGTCGCCCCTCCTTTTTGTGGGGGGAGCAAGGGGGGCGGGGGGACTTTGGTTGGTGGCTCCCACCCACGTTTTCCTCCTTTGACAGAACTCCCACCCCCTCCCATCACCCATCCAATAAAACAAGCCAGGTTTAGCACTGGCTTCGGTCACACAGGATGTTCTGCTACGGTTCTGACACTGACGGGGACAGGCTCCCGGCCCTGTGGTCTTTCCAGGGGTCTCGGCACGAAGCTGGGCTACCCTAGCTCTTCTGTCTCAGAGCAGACCTGAGGCTCTTTTCAAGTCCAGCAGCTCAGATTCCAAATTCCCCATCCAGCAGCCTGCTCTGTGTAACAGATGGACTTCTAAGCAAAAAGTAACCGTAGAATATGTACTTCTTGGAATTCCGGCACGGCAGGAAGCTGGAGTCAAAAATGCACTTCCCTCCTGGAAAGGTAAGGGAGGAGGGCAGCGCTCGCTCGAGGCCCGGGCATTTCTTTTCAGGGTATCCTGGCTGAAAAATTTGTTCTGCATAGAGAAGAGTGATCTTTTCTTTTAAGAGTCCCTTTAGCCACATTATCTGTCCAGTTCGAAATATTTTCCCAGTGAAAACACCACATAATGGAGCTTGTAGAAAGGCCAAAACCAGCCTCAGGTCCATGCACCAGGCACTGTGCCCCCTGCCCCCCCCGAAGGGCGTCGCTGGTTCACTTGAAATTAACAAACCATCGGAAAGTGCTGCGCGCTACGCTCACAGGACGGGATTGTCATCGTAGCTTCAGGCTCGGTGCAGACTAGCTTGAAAGGGAGAGAGAGAGGGAACCTTATGACCCAAACCCACGCCAAGTTGCTGTTTTACAGAAAGCGGGTCGTGGGTATAAACATGCCCGCAGAGGGGCAGCTCCGTCCGGCCCACTTCCCCAGCGTCTAAGGTGACAGTAACAATTGCGCCTCGATTCACTTCCCTGGCCGTCTCCGTACAAAGAGCAAGGCCAGGGCTGCCTCGACCCTAAGTTTCTGACACCGTTTCCCAATTTGCACAAAAGTTCCAACAATATTTTAGCAAGTGGTGTGACTTCAGACAGCTAAACTGGAGCGGAAAGAGCGGCGGCAACAAGTTTTCCCGTCTGGTTTGTTGTGTTTGTTTTGGGGCAAGTGCAGGCAGGTCATTAGCGAGACACTTCACTGCTGAAGCTTTGTTATTGAGGTTCCCGGATGGGGGCCGGGGTCCAGCTTGCGGGTCTGAGGTGGGGGCGGGGAGCTTCCTGGCCGAGTTGCTGTCCTTGTCATCACTAACACCTGTCAGCGTGCCGGGCGTGGAGGCATCTGGACCCTCTGCATCTTGCTGTGGTTCTTCTGCTTGACCTGGAAGCGGCCTGTGGTCTGACGTTCGGGGGCTGCCAATTGCGGGCTGTGCTTCCAGGAGCGGAGGGAGCCAGGCTTCCAGGCTCCTTGCTGAAGTTCTGGGACCGGAAAGAGGCCGGTGCCGCCGACTGCAGGGGGAGGTGGGGCCCAGAGTGGAAGGCCAGGCCGCCTATGCGCTGTCCCCCTCAAGTCCTGCCTGTTGGACTCTCCTGTGTGTCGTTTACCACCATGCTCGAGGGTGTCCTAGGAGCTGGCTCCCGTGACGCAACGCGGTCCTCCCTTGGGGTCTTCTTGGGAGGAGTGAGGAAATGAATGATAACAGACCCCCCTACGGGTCTCTCTAATGAGAACCCAAACCGGGAGGAGATGTCCCCGGGAACTGAGACCCCAAGACTGAGGGAGGAAGACCCACCTGGTTTTCCTGTGGCGTTGGCCACAATCCGTGGTAATTAGGAGGGAAACAAGGGTCCAGCGGTTGAAAACATCTGGAAACAGGAATGTGGCATCTGAGTTCTTTAATGCTGCCTTCCTGCTGTGAGGAGGAGGGGGACAGCGCCCCTGCCGGCCCCAGGCTGCTCTCCTGCGTCGGGTCACCTCAGCAAGATCCAGGGGGTCGTGTCCTGGCTCCTCCATGGGCAGCTGGGGACACACGTGTTGCCCGCCGTGAGGCCTGGTCTCTGCTTTCCTACTTGCACTTGGGCCTGGGCACCCTCAGCAGCTGTGCGGGTGGAGCCTGATAGAGCAGAACCTTCCAGAGCCCTAGTTCCCTCTTGCCAAACAGGCTGGTCAGTGGCACTGCACTCCCAGAACCTTAACTGTCCACCGCGGACTGGGCCTCTGAACCTCCCTCCCCCACCAAAGAACAGCGTGGCCCCAGGTGGTCCGGCTCCCGGTTACTCCACTTTGGGTCTGGGGAACCCTCCCATCGGTCACCCCTCTCGGGAACCCTAGACGGCCCACCGGTCCCCTCGCCCCTCTGCCCAGATGCTTCAGGGCCCGCCTCTCAGGCCTGCCCTCACCAGCGGTCCTCAGCCACCCTCAGGGAAGCAGCACACCGCCGCTCTGCAGCGCGTGGGCAGGAGGAGGGACGGGCCGCGCGGGCCGCGCGCAGGGCAGGTGGTCCTCAGCTCTGAGCTGTCTGAGGACACGCCCCCACCCCAGCCGCAGCCAGGTGTGCCCCGCACGGCAGCCTTCCCGAAACGTAGTATGAATTTTTAAAATTTCGTTTGTTTTTGTTTCTCAACCACTTTATAATGTATTTTAATTTATTTTGTAACGTCTTGCGTATTGCTGCTGTCCTTGTTGCTCTTCCCTGTTTTTATTGCCGATTTATTTTGTGAAAGTTGTACACTAATGTTCTGTTTTATGTCAAAATCAAAAGTATTTAAAGAAATACTTGTTCTATTTGATGTGGTTATGGAACCAGCTGGAAACACAACACAGGCCGTGACTGCACAGCAGGCCGGGCCCAGGCGGCAGGCTCGTTTTGTTACACACGCAATAAACTACGACTTTACATTTCTGGCGTCTCTTACTTGGTGTGGAAGTGAGGTTCCAACTTTTTTTTTTTAAACCATCCCACAAGCAAGGAAGTCAGTAATGTGACAAGGGCCTCCAAAGAGAAAGGGGCGAACTTGAGGTTGGAATCGGAGGAGGGACCGATGAGAACACGGCAGGCAGCCGGAAGGTCTTCCTGAACAAAAATCTGGGGGTGGAGACAGTTTTGAACCTGCTGACTTCTCCTTCACATACTGATCCTGTTTATTAGTTTGGGTTCTTATTTCTCTTTTTAAAATATTTTTATCGTGGTACAGTAATATACATAATATCAATTTGTATATTGATATTAACCACTGATAAGTGTACAATTTGTGGCATTAAATAATTCATGATGTTGTATAATCATCACCATCTATACCCAGACGTTGTCATCTCCCCAAACTGAAACTCTGCCCATCGGCCAGTAACTCCCATTCCTCCTCCTCACCGCCCCCAGTAACCTCCATTCTTTCTGCCTCTACGAATTTGCCTATTCGAGGTACTTCATAGAAGTGGAATCATAAATTATTTGTCCTTCTGTGACTTACTTCCTGTAGCATAACATTTTCAAGGTCCCTCCATGTGAGAACATGTCGAACTTTCATTCTTTTTTATGGCTAAATAATACTCCTCTTTTTCCATTCATTTGAGGAACACCTGGTGTGATCATGAATTTTGTGTGGCAACTTGACCAGGCCATGGTACCCAGAGACTCTACAGATTAATTTCTGTAGCCTCTTTAATTTCTTTCAGCAGTGTTCTGTAGTTTTGTGTATAAGTCTTTTGCCTCCTTGGTTAAGTTTATTCCTAACTATTGTATTCTTTTCAATGCTACTTTAAATGGAATTGTTTTCTCAGTTTCCTTTTCAGATTGTTCATTGTCAGCATATAGAAACTGCTGATTTTGGTGTGTTGATGTTTGTATCCTTCAACTTTGTTGATTTCATTTATTAGTTCTAAATGTGTGTAATCTTAGGGTTTTCTACACATAAGATCACGTTGTCTGCAGACATCTTATTTCTTCCCTTCCAATTTGGATGCCTTTTCTTTTTCTTGCCTAATTGCTCTGGCTAGGGCCTCCAGTGCTACGCTGAACAGAAGTAGTGAAGGTGGGCGTCCTTGTCTGGTTCCTGATCTGAGTGGAAAAGCTTCCAGTCTTTCACCATTGAGTATGATGTTAGCTGTGGGTTTGCCATATGTGGCTTTCATCGTGTTGAGGAAGTTTCCTTCGGTCTCAGTTTGTTGAGTGTTTTTATCACGGTAAGGTGTAGAATTCTGTCAAATGATTCTGCTGCATCAACTGAGATAACCATTTGATTTTTCCCCTTATTCTGTTAATGTGGTATTTTACACTGATTGACTTTTGTATGTTGGGTGATCCTTGCATTCCAGGAATAATTCCTGCTTTGTTGTGATGTATAATCCTTTTACTATGTCGTTGGATTCAGTTTGCTAATATTGTGTTGAAGATTTTTCCATCAGTACTGATGGGGGACAGTGACTTGTATGGGCAGCAAGGGCCTGGAGCATCCTGGATCTGCCATCTTCAATCTCTTGTGTCTCAGTGACAGCATTTAATACATTGAAAATACTTAATTATTTTTCGTTTTTTGTATACCTACCCTTCACTTCCTCCGTTAACTGCCTTCTTCTGTGTTTGATTTTTTTATGGTGACGTTTTCCCTTCTCATTTGCTTTTGTGAATATTCTGTAGATGTTTTCCACAGGGACTGTACTCGACATCCTAAAGTTCTAACAACCTAATGTGGATTTGGTTCCTTTTTATAACTTTTACCTCTTTACTGATACGATATACATATAGTTTTCCTGTCTTGTCCGTGTCTTCCTTCAGTGCTTTCGGATAGTTGTTTTAGAGTCTGTCTGCTGTCTGTGCTTCTCCAGGGACAGTTTCTGTTCATTTAATTTGCTTCTTAGACTGGGCCATACTTCCTGGTTTCTTTGTGTGCCTACGACTTTTTGTTGAAAACTGGACATTTCACTCTGATCATGTAAACCTGGAATCAGACTCTCCTCCGTCCTCAGGGTTGGGGGTTGGTTTCCAGTTGTCGGAAGTGTCTGACCAGCCTGAGGTGGAAGCGTAAGGTCTTCTCAGGTCTCTCTGACCCTGTGTTTCCCTGGGTGTGAACTTTCTAAATTCCTGTTTACACGGCCAGCTCTTTGTCTTTGCTGCTGCTGTTGTTATTTTTAACAACGTACGTTTGTTATCACACTGTTCACAGATCAGGACTCCCAGAGTAACTCGGTCCCCTGCCCAGGGCCTCGCACAACCGCCCTCGAGGCACCAGCCAGTCTGCACTCCCCTGTCGAGGCCCAACCAGAGAGGAAGCCCCTCCAAGCTCCTTTGGGTTGTCGGCAGAATTAATTTTCTTGTGGTTTTGTGACTGCAGGTCCTGGCTGCTTACTAGTTTTTGGCAGGAGACCATCCTGAGGCCATAGAGGTTGTCCCTGCGGTTGCTTCTGAATTTCTTAATCCTTAATTGTTTGGTTATATCTTCCCCCTTTTCCCATTTTGAGAGCCAAACAACTGAAGCTGTTTCTCAAATGCCTGGAAGGCCCTTCAACTTTACAGCTCTGCTCTGGGGGGTTCACCAGCAGCTGCGCACCGGGGTCTGCACCTCCTGGATCAGAAGCAGCCATCAGTGATGAGAACACAGGCCCGGATCGTTGGAGGACAAGCTCCTCATCACCTCCCCCGGCTCCGGCCAGTTGCTCCCAGAACACAGGCATGGCTGACCCCTCGGGGCAGGGGGCGGGGAGGGCAGCCACTACCACACTGACGGCTGAAACTGAATGGAACTGACCAGTTAACTGCAATTTACCAGCCACGCTCTCCCTGGGAAGTTGCAAGCATTCAGATGGGCTCCAGAGTCCCGGAAGAGCCACCTCAGACAGACTCTGCCACTCTGGTTCTCATCTAAGCGGGGGTGGGTTCCTGGCGCTTCCTACTCCGCCGTCTTCTTCGACATCACACCAGTCACGTGCGTATTTCTGTCTCCTGGCCGCCACAGTCCCTGGACTCAGGGCGTGTCTGCGCTCTGCTGTGAGTGGCTCTGCCCTGGCTGAGCTGGGCTTTTCTACTGAGAAAGTCTGAATCTCTTCAGGTTTTAATTGATCTCAAGGTTCTCACTAGGTAATTGGGAGACAAGTCAGTGCAGCTGTCTGGGTCCCCACACTGGCCCTGCCTGCTACCTTGATGACTTTAAGTCTGCTGCTTGGAACTTTCCGGCTTGTCCCTCCACCCTCCCTCCTCCAGCGTGAGCACCGGCCTCCCCTCAGGCAGCCCACTTGTCCTCCGTGTCCCACCAACGATAGGAAACAGATGTATCTGCATACACCCTCAAGAGGCCGTGCTCAGAGTAGTCAGGACCTGGGATCGACCCTGGCTTTGTGACCTGACCTCGGACACACCGCCTCAGCTGTGCCTGCGCTGGCTTACTTGTAGAGGAGGGACAGTGGCACATCCCTCCCAGGAGCATCAGTCCATGTGGACATGAAGTCCCCGCCATCATGGCTCCTACCGTCCATTATTAACATGCACAGGAAACTGCTGCTTTCCATGGACGGGTCTCACCTTTCTGCATCTCGCTCCCCTCCGTGCTCCTGGAGCACTCCGTGCACCCACAGTGGTGCACTGCTGCCTCTTCTCCCATCCAGCCAGGAGCCGTCCTGAGAACCAGGGCAGCCTCTGCTGGGAAACGGCAGTCGGCTGCCCTGGGAGGTGCAGGGGACCTGGGCAAGGGCTCCTTGCTGCCTGGTGTGCTGGGCAGGTGTGCTAGGCCAACACTTTTCAGAACCAGGGTCTCTCTTGGGGCTCCTCCCAGGAGACTGGGCAGGACTAGCGAGGAGTTGGGAGAGTCTTGACTTTGAATCCAGCTCACAGTCCTCAGGTGCGTCATCTTGGGTTGCTACTTTAACTCTTGAGCCTCTATTTCCTTATCTGTAAAATTAGATTAAAATAAAAAGATTAACTGATACAGGAACACACAATTCTCAAAAATGTTGACAAAAGAATCAGACAAAATGACATGGTGTCAGGACAGTCCTTCTGTCTGAGACAAGTGACTTGTGAGGAGGGGCCCGAGGAAGCCTTCTGGGCCCCTGAAAATGCAAGGTCCCTTGGTCCGGGTGGTGTGAATGGTGGACAGAGATGGCAAGTGTCAGCAAGTTGTTCCCTGAGTGAAACAGATGAAGTTTGAATCATTCTTGCAGCACAGCAGGAATCAGGCTCTAATTCCTGAGACAGAGAACTCCTTTACTCAAAAAAATCAATGCACTAACTCATGATCACATAAGAAAGCTTGTGCTGGAAACAGAAACTGGATATTATAAATTTCCCATTTCCTTTATGATTCTATTTAAAAAAGTGATAGAATAAGATATGTAGAAATTCTGGCAGAAACTGCACTGAGATAAACGAATTTCTACTGACTATTCAATCAAGAGTGAATTCCCTGTGAAAAGCGAGAGGAGAATCTTTCTGAAGCAATGTGAAAGACTGGACATGCACAGGAAGAGCTGAAACCTGGGAAAGAGACCAAAATTCTTAGACAAAAGTCCCAATGTTCACAGCAGCATTATTTACAATTGCCAAGATACAGAGGCAACCGAAGTGTCCATCAACAGAAGAATGGATAAAGAAGACATGGTAAATACACACAGTGGAATACTACTCAGCCATAAAAAGAATAAAATTTTGTCATTTGCAACAACATGGATGGATTTGGAGGGTATTGTGCTAAGTGAAATAAGTTAGAGAAAGACAAATACTGTAACATATCACTTATATGTAGACTCTAAAAAATAAAACAAACTAGTGAATATAACAAAAAAGAAACAGATATACAGAATAAACTAGTGGGGCCGGGGGGAGGGCCAACACAGGGGTAGGGAATTAAGAGGTACAAACTACTATGTATAAAATAAGCAACACAGATATATTGTACAACACAGGGAATATAGCC